CACATGCCTTCGTACACAAAATCGGAATTTAATACACAGGTCGTCGCCACGTTGACCGCACAGGCGATAGCTCGCTAGTCAAGTTAGCTAAATCAATTTGAACGAGATGAATTTTCCCGTAGCTGGCTCAGATTTTCGAGCAGCGAATGGCTGAGTCGCTATCATATTTTGACACGAAAACGTTCCGAAGCCTCAATCGACTGTACAAGGCTAAAATGTTTCAAATATTTGTGCACAAAATTGCTTTGTCCGTGCTTCTGTTTGTAGGATGCCTGTGATGGAATATTTCGCACAAACTTGTTACACTAATGTAGTGAGCGATTAAGGTCCTCAAATTGTTAAGGTTCCATACTTAGCTTCAGGTATGGGAGTGAACATTCTGTACGGTTTACACACGTTCATCTTTGGTATGTCGACAGAGCTTGTCGAATTAGTGTTGCTTAGGTACTAGTGCAAAGTACCTAGCGCCCGAATTCTCAATTACAGGTTACATTTAAAAGTAGTGCCATTTTACAAGGAATTTGTAGTAACAGAACTATAAGTTTGAATGTAAGGGCATGAATGTAACTTACTCATTAGTATAATTATCAGTATATTATAAATAATTCAACCCTACATTCAAAGGACGGGTCAAAACGGATCACCACTTAAAACAACACTGAAAACGCATATTCCAGTCCATCCATAAGTAATGCACTTCCAATTAGTCGACGTCGAATTTAAAACATGGTATATTGCAATGTCCGGTAAAACGTATCGACGCTCGAATAGTATTATTTATGCATGCTAGGAAAGGCTTATTCAATAATTCAATTGTCTAACTTATATTGGACTAATTTGGCAGTCTCTGGCCTTTGACTGTTAAGAAATACAATTTAATCTGGCTTTTAGCACTCTACTCTTGCAATAGTTTAATTGTTTTAATACAAGTGCAGAGTGCAGTTAAACACAAGCGATAGTTATGATATTTTATTTAAAATAATTTTTTACTAGTTGGCGAAATTTTAACGTGTCAGTAACTTTTTCATTATTCATTTTTAGAAGGCTTTTTTAATACGAGTTCTATTTTCAAGTGTGGGAGAGCCATGCTTCGGCACGAATGGGCCAACTCGACCCGAGTGACACCACGGCCTTACAGAAAACCGACGTGAAGCAACGCTTGCGTTGTGTTAATCCTAATCCCCCAAAAGACTAATGCACGAGAGTAATGCACTAACTAACACTAACACTAACTGTAACGCCTCTGGTGTTCCAGGTGTCCTTGGGCGACGCGGATTGCTTACCATCAGGTGATGAAAAAAAGTACGACAATGTAGAAAAATGAAATGTTTCTATTACCAAAACAAAGATTCAACCAACAAAACAAACAGTGAAGATATTACTTCTCATTATTAGAGAAAAACGTGGGGCAATATTTCCAGCAGGCGAGTGCATAATATTTATTATTTACCAACTTGAAACTGTCAGTTTGATCTCTAGTAAACAATAGTGGGGGTAACAAATGACAAGTTATATTACAGTATTCATTTGATGAATGGCTGTATTGTGTTGTGGAACTGAGAGATATTCTCAAAACCGTGCTCGATTGACAAAATGAGTTATTTTTTTGTAAAGGCATGAGAAAACGTAGCTATGTGTATTTGGGCTATAGGTACCTTTACCAGTTACATTATATATAGATGTTACCTACACATTTAAGATCAGTTTCAATTTGTAGCAATTCTAATTTAAGCGTAAACCGGGAACCATTATATAAATTGGAATCAAGTTGGAATTTTAATCACGAGAATTATTTTAATCTTTTCTTGATCTCCCACAATAATGAGAAGGTGTGTGCCAGGTAAACATGAATGCATACATAGACACAAGATATCTTTATTAGAAGATGAGGACACAATCGCCACAAACTGCCTCATAGACAGTGGTCGTAAGTGCGACTGCCGGGCAAAATGTCTCGGATTCGATTCCTGGGCCGCGCAAAGTAATACTGGATTTTTAGCAATTCTCAGTAGTAGCACGCAGTCTGAAATTGTGCTCAGTGCATAGGCTCACCCCCTATTACTTGGGATTCATAACATAAATAGTAAAATAGTGCTATATTGTACAGTGGCATTAAGTGTCTTAATTTCCACTTCTGCCTACCCGTACGGGGATAAAAGGCGTGATGTTATATTAGGACACAATCGTTAAAGTTTTATGTACTTATAGATTATCTTCACAAACAATATGAATATATTTCTTAATCACCCTGATGGAAAATAACTCATTGATATTAATTTACTGTTGAGAAGAATCGTGTAAGACGCAATCAGGTCAGGTCGTGAAGTTAAAAAACAGAACGTATCATTGAAAAATATTCTTTGTTCCTTTGCAACAAAGTTGCATACCGAACAATAATTCTCATGTAAATGGGAGATATTTTCAAAGAGGTTTTTGTATGCAGAAGAAACCTCAAGTGCAATTTTAGCATTTCAACAATGACACAGTTCAGACCATGGTTTTGTTATCTGTAATCGAGATTGCAGTATTGTCAGAAGCCTGACTTTTGATCCATATTTACATGAACAGAAATATCTGTATAACCTCTTATTCTACCATTCTTATACGTAGTTATTTTCAAGTTTATCTTTAGATACTGAAATTTCTTACATAATTATAATGTCTTACAATTGGGATGACGACAGGGTATGAAAATTAAAAATCTAATTAGTCCGTAAGTTAGGTATTTAAAAAATATTAGACACGTATTTTTTTATTTTGTCGTATAATAAAACAATACTTAGATAAAACGAATCAAAGATTAGGAGTGGGGGCTAAAACGTCATTTCTTCGTATAAAATGTACATAAAAGTGACGTCACACGACATTTCAAATCAATATATCGTGGAAAGTATTCGTTTCTGTAAGAAAATAAAAAATACGTGTGTAATGATTTAAAATAATCTACCAGACGGACATTAAAATAAAAATTAGTCATCTACCCTATTATAATTTTTTGACGTATCAAGGTTTTTTTTTGACGTTTCTAGTGTCTAATTAAGGATCAATTGATTTAGTAGTGTTTAATTTTGCAATATAAAAACGCGGTCTAATTAGTACCCAACGATAATTATAGTTTAGTATACTCTACCCATATAGTATGTGGTGTAATTATGAACGACCCGTCATTATCATGGAGCCACCCTCCTCGTTCCGCTTTGCGTTCCAACAAAGCTAAAAAATCCTCTATAATTTCTGCACAAAGAACATGCACTTTATGGTAAAATACACACATTAAAGGGCTTTTTTCTCGTATTTTCTAACAAGGTCCTGTGTTTAATGCTCGGGTTGTGGAAAGTGTTATTGACTTTTTCATCGTGATTGCTAATTTAGACTTGATTATATTTTGCCATTTATATTGCTCAATTGTGTCTAGTTACATTTAAAAAACAAAGGAGACTTTTCAGACGATATTTTATTAAATCATCAAAAACAAGAAGTCCATTGCCTAACAAAAGCGTGTTTTAACTTAAACTGGAAGATCTTTATGAATACCCCTCATCCTGAAAAGATGAAGGGCACTGTCAGACTCTTGCTGACTTGCTTTCCACCCCGGTTTACTGATTCACCGTATCAATTGTACAATTGGGTACGAGAACTACAATCTCACCGATACTGAACGTAGAACTAACCTGACTAAGTCTTGAACCACTATGGTATATTGGCTAAGAAGATATTGCGTAGTTTACGAATCTATATAAAAATGCACATACACAACTGTTGTTCCAGATTGAATTAAACACCCATATTAATAAGGCTCATTTTTAATTCAACTCGGATTTGTCAAAGTCCGGATATGGACACGTGTCTTTTTTAAAAAAGAAGGGAAATTGTCTGTTATTCTTTTTAAAAGGATTTTTGCGGCCAGGACTGGTTCGAATTTTGAATAAGATATTTGATCAATGACAACTTTGATTGAGGTCAGCTGTCAGTCAGGCACAAAAATATAACGACTATTGTAATATTTTTATTGGATGTTAATAATAAATTTGACATATGTAATATGCGCTAAATTGGTCGAGCTTATAACATTTTTGTGTTTGTCTAAATAAGGTACTTAAATCATGTGTTTCCCAATAACATATAGATAATGCAGTCGGAGCAAATGTAGTCGTAACTGAAATATGAGCAATGCTAAACTATAATTTCGTAACGGATACTGTTGCATCAAAATGTTCATGACAATAAGCTAATTATATGCGGCAGATTGACTGCATGGCAGTTAGGCGATATGGAGTGGATCCACCGTTGTCACTCCGTCGTACGAGCATTTGAATAACATGACTCAGAATAAAAAGGTAGAGGCGTTTCTTAATCTCTAGAAATTATTGGGAAATGTCTGTGTTCAGAGGCCTTAATACGAGTTTCATTTACGTTTAAAGTATTCGTAACGAGTATGCGTTCGGCACTCTGATTGGCCGGCGCCAATGAACCAGCCAATCAGAGCGCAGATCGCGGTCTCGTACTAACAAACAAACTCGTACTAAGGCCTCAGTATGTGAATGTCTTCTGAGTTATGACTGATAATGATAACGCCAATGCTGTTGATACAGAAGACTTACTTTTTTACTATTCTGGCTGCGATACTGCCATCGACTAATGAAGTTATAGTAGTAGATAATAGGTGGGTGTAAGTAATTTTACAGCAATTACTGTATTCATAATTTTAAAATATAATAAATGGTCCTATTAGGTAACAGACGGGCAATAGTCGTATTGTATTGTCTTTTGACAACGCTGTTTATACAAAGTGTGTTATTGTTTTTTGTGAAATTCTTTGGATTTCTGGTGACAAGAAATTGATTTCCTCTGCACATACGAAGTTGCAAGATCTAATGGCTGGCAACGCACTTGTAACTTTTTAGTTATGCAAGGTTGGTACTGATCGCTTACCATCAAGTGACCTGTCTGCTCACATTCCCTTATACCCTTAAAAAGTATACTATAAATCTATGACTTACAGGAAGCGGAGGAGATCACGATGTAGGTGAAGACTCCAACGAGTAACACCGCCAGACACGCTGCGATCCGCTTCTTCGGTGCAAGCAACAAGCCACTGAGCGCGCGACTTGCTTTGTTTGGGAGCACCATTGTGAAAAATAGAAGAATTAATCTGCAACAAAGAAATCGCGTCTTCATATCACGTTGTACTAATGCTTAAAATCTTTTAAAATATAGTTAAGTCACGTGTGTAAGGAATTGTAACTTAATATCTGGTTTGAATAAGGTTTAAATTCATTGTTTTTAATGATGCACGTAAAACGCTTAGCCAGTCGCATTTAATCCACGAGAGAATTGATTACATAGTTATTTGCCTGCCACTCCACAGAGTAAATATAAGGTTTTGCAATGAAACAGATACCTTCACTGTAAACAAATGAAATTGCACGTCAACGAGGTACAGGGTGCAAACAAAAACTTGCCTTATCAAAAATAATGAGGTCCAGAGCAAATATTAACTGTTTCACCATCATTATCATGAAATAGTGAAATTCAGATGACGTCATGACTTTTCACGAGGTAAACTGCTCTTTATTGTTTTTGAAATATGGTTAATTATGCTGTTAGTTGCAAGCTTTAAATTAAGAAGGTATTATATTATACCCGCCCCGGCTTCGTACGGGTGCAATTAGAAACTTCTATGTTTATCAGTATTTCTCTACTTTATTATGCATGTATTATACACACAAACCTTCCTTAAGAATCACTCTATCTATTAAAAAAACTGCATCAAAATCTGTTGCGTAGTTTTAAAGATCTAAGCATACATAGGGACAGACAGATGGCGGATAGCGACTCTGTTTTATACTATGTAATGATTTCTTGTTGAACTTCTAGAAATGTAATTTTTTTTGTAGTATCGCAGAATATACCGCTAGTATATTCATTTCATTCATTGGAATTGAAGCCGTAACACATTGGACAAAACCAAATGGTTATCAACACATTATATTAGCGGTTAGATGAATGAAGTCGGTTAAAAAATTTAAATACACGAAGTCAAACTCAAAATCATTTATTTTAACTACAAAAGAAAAAATCTCAACTATCAAAACAATGATAATAATGACGTCGGCGTTCTGTGTGCGCCTCAAAGAGCTATAAGACTTTCACAGATAGGGCCCAGTAGGGTTGAAGCCCGACCCAGAGCTGCGGACAACCTAACGGGGTTATAGGGGCTCCGGTTTGAAACAGGAGTTGAAATGGGGTGGTTTTTAGTCAGTAAGTGCCTGACACTCTTTTTCGCTTCACCCAAGGAATTCATTGTTTGATTATTCCCCTTAAAAAAGTCATGAAAATATAAAACAGATAATAGAAATTGTGCACAATTAATAAAGGTAATTAGTCCCTACGTTTAATTAACGAACTTGTAACACGTTTCAGCGTCAACCGCCTAAAAGGGCTGAAATATTGATGACTGAAGTCTCTATATTATTCATAGTCTAATGGAGGTGCAGCTAATTGGTTTTGAAGCTATAATTGTGTCTGATTGTGATTCGATCAATGTTGGTTCTAATGCACTTGAATAGGTTATGTTAGTTAGTAAACTAAGACTTAGATATAAATCTGTAGGTACCTAGTGTTCGCTTTTGTTAAGAATATGACAGTATTTAAAACATTCAACAATGGTTATTATAAGCAGATATGTAAAATACTATGCAATTATTACCCCACGTTAAATTTTAGTATTTATTCCATTAATTATGGAGCTAGACCACTGATTACATACGGTACATAACTGATTACGTGTCGTTCAAAATTATACTGAATATCTAAGTCCAAAATCTTCACTTACCCAAGAAGTAAAAGAAAGAAAAAATCCGAAGGAATTTCACATGACAACACAAAACAATGAGTAATACAACACAGACAATTACTAAGGACCCAACAACAGACACACCAACTTTTATTGTTCATCTTTCAAAAGTCCCTTGTTGAACTAATTGGAATAAATGATATGACTTTGAAACCCAATCAGGGCAATCTTTTAACCAGGCAATCGAACGAACCCTCGACACAATAGCATTACCTTCTAATTCCCGAATTTAACACCGACTTTTACGAATTACGAGTCCAATTTTATAAGGGATGAGTCCATAATCGAACACCGGGTACAATATCAGACTTAAAACAATTACTTAGACCAAAAACCCGAAACAGAATAAAATAGACTTAGGTCACGGTTCTTGACTCGACAGTCACACTTGTACGACTAATCGACCGACAGACCGATGTATAAACAATCACATACTTATAATACCTCTACGAAAAGACCCATGTATAAACAAACACTTGCTTTAAATATGATCCAAAATGACGGTCAGTCCCAATAGCCTATCTATTTATTTATTTCCTTTTTAGACTAAAGATACGATTTTATTCAAGCTCCATAAAACGTGTAACATTATATTATTAGCATATAATTAAATTTAAGTCTATGTACAGTTCTAAAATATATATCGCACATAATAATAATTATCGGTGGTCGGAAGTCATGGTGGCCGGAGGTTCAAGACTCTCATGTAGTCGAAACCTGAGAGAGAGAAAGAAACCTAATGAGACGTTTTCCGAGTTATATCTACTTTCTAAGATTATTTAGACTCTACTGGCAAAAGGAGAAGGGAAACACCGTGGGGAAACCTGGGCTTATAATTTCATGCACGCATTGAGCGACCGTGGTGATTAACGCTCAAACCTTCTCCGTGCGAGAAGAGGCCTTTAGTTATCAGTGGCCATGTAATGATGTGCTAGCTAGCGGGTGTTAATAACCTAAGTACGTATTGTCTATATAATGTCTATAGTTAGACGAGACTGCCAGACGGTTCCCTAAGTATATCAGAGTGCATTGTTCGATCCCCTTCGACTAGGGGTCTGGGAGATGTCTAGACGTAGAGTTCGAACATTCATTTACTCTGATATTAGGGTGGAGTATTTCGAATTTAATTACAAAGATCAGACTTTGTTAGGTTTTCGAGTGTGTTTGTATAAAATATTGAAGATTCAAAATTAATATAGAATACTGTAATAGGGATGATAACGGGATATGAAAATAAAAAAATCTAATTAGTCCGTCAGTTAGATAATGAGAAAATATTAAACACGTATTTTTTTATTTTGTCGTAAAAGACAACAATACTCAGATAAAGCAAATCAAAGTTTAGGAGTGGGATAAAAATTGTACTCAAAAGTAACGTCATACGATATTTTAAATCGATATATCTTCGAAACTATTCGTTTGCGTAAAATTCTAATACTACTACTAATGTTTTTAAATAATCTTAAACAAACTTAACATTAAAATAAAAATTATTCATGTACCCTATTCTCTTTGTCTGTCCTTAAAAATATGTATGTGATCGTGGCCAAATTTCGTCTTGTGTTTTAGGTGTGTTTACGAACATACTGAAGATATGCGTCACAACTAGAACCGATACATAAAGATCATACAAGGAATTGTCCTATGCTAGAATCGAACCTGCTAGAAATCGTACAGCAGCTTGTTCACTTGACCTGCAGTTGACTTGCGACCACTCGGCTAACGAAGCAGTCATTGTACTTTTATTAAGTAAAATGTATTAAAGTACGGACATGCATCTGAGCTAACCCTTTATGCGTTTAAAATTTAAATTATAACAGAGAAGAGACCAGATGCGAAGTACCCTTAACCGACGAGTTAGCATGACCTGGTGCATAAAATGTAGATGGAAACTAATCAAGTAAGTTAGGATCATACAAGATACCACTCTGTGGCTTCTGCCTACAACGATGAGAACAAAAGCGTGCGTTTAGATACGTAATTTTAGCTAAACGTAAAATACAAACAAGATTATTGTTTTGCCAAAAATTACTTAGTACATATTTCTGGTACATTTCTTTTGCCAAAAATTGTTCGTTCCTTCAACAAAGTTATTAACATTTCTTTCTTTGCTTCTATCTCGAATTAAATTTCAAACTTTCTCTTGAAGTTTCAATAAAATTTTGCTATGAGGTATAAACCGCGTCTGCTTAAATTAATTTCGTAAGTCCATCATTTTGGAAATTAAGCTAAAGTCGTATTTGTAACGCGGTTAACTTAGGGTTTAAAGGGTACTAGTTGGTTGTCTGAAAAGTTTCATATCAACTTTGTACCACAACCGCGACTGTTTATGGCATATTTAATCAAAATTCAATCTTTGTTAGCTCAAGCTAATATTAATTTTCTTCGCAGGTAGGTCATGTTATTTAGAATTATTCAGATCTCTTTAATATATAACATTACGCCTTTTATGCCCTAAGGCTTTTTCTTGAGGCAACTCTTTGGTTGTCTTTATTTACTATAACATTTTGTGATGAGTTTAATTTTCTTCTCGTACCTATTTTTGTATATTTTGCGAAATTTTCATATTGTAATAACATATAGACTAGGTACTTCTTATTCCACGGCAACGTGGAAAAAGCCACTGATAGAAGCTAGTTATAATAAATACGGAATTGGATGGACGTATCTTTCACATGCTATTTTTCCTTTGAAACTTAAACTTTTCTAATGATATTATGAACCAGCATCTGTCCGCGACTTCGTACGCGCAGTACCATTTTTTCCCGTTCACATAGGATTTTCAGGACCTTCTCCTGACAATAACAAACACAACAAAAAAAAGATCAGCGAAATCAGTCTAGCCGTTCTCAAGTTATGGCGTGACAACGGACAACGGGTTTCATTTTCGTATATACATACAGATGTATTAATAATTTTATATAAGAAATTTATATGGAGGCCCAATTACCCTCCCCTTAGCCAATCTTTCCTTGATCCCCAACGATCCTCAAACTCCTAATCCCCAAAAGGCCGGAAACGCACTAATTGTAACGCCTCTGGTGTTCCAGGTGTTCATGTGCGACGCCGATTGCTTACCATCAGGTGATACGTCTGCTAGTTTACCGGCTTATGCCATAAAAAAGGTAAATATCTATTATTTCTTAGTCGGACATCCACACGATTTGTAAACCGGATAAGCAGACAAAACATTACTTATAGATTTATGTACTAGGTAAAAAGTAATAGCATTCTGATTTTACTTGAATTAAGAAAGATACATTTGAATATTGACACTCACTTTTCTATTCGTAAAA